TTGATTGTCTGATGGCGTACGGGTGGACCTGCTACTACTAAAAAATTCAAATAAAATTCTCTTTTCTTCAGGATTGAGTAGGGTTTAGTCCCTACTAGAGCTTTGGTAATTTTCAGATGATTAGATTAAATAAATTTGGATGAAATAAATTTTTATTTTCGTTTTTACCAATTTTGATTGTCTGAAGGCGTTCGGGTGAGGGTGCTACTACTAAAAAATGGAAATAAAATTCTCTATTCTTCAGGATTGTGTAGAATTCAGTCCCTACTAGAAGTCTGGTAATTTTTAGATGATTAGATTGAATAAATTTGAATGAAATAAATTTTTATTTTCGTTTTTACCAAATTTTGATTGTCTGATGGCGTTCGGGTGGACCTGCTACTACTTAAAAATTCAAATAAAATTCTCTATTCTTCAGGATTGTGTAGGGTTCAGTCCCTACTAGAACTCTGGTAATTTTCAGATGATTAGATTGAATAAATTTGGATGAAATAAATTTTTATTTTCGTTTTTACCAAATTTTGATTGTCTGATGGCGTTCGGGTGGACCTGCTACTACTTAAAAATTCAAATAAAATTCTCTATTCTTCAGGATTGTGTAGGGTTCAGTCCCTACTACAACTCTGGTAATTTTCAGATGATTAGATTAAATAAATTTGAATGAAATAAATTTTTATTTTCGTTTTTACCAATTTTGATTGTCTGAAGGCGTTCGGGTGAGGGTGCTACTACTAAAATATATTATTATATATAATTTTAAAAGTTAAATAATTATAATAGTTTATTAAATATAATTAATTAATCTTCTTTTTAACCCTTTAACGACGAGATGTGCTACTTTTCAACATGAAATTCAATCTCTTACAATTAGTAGAAAAAAGCCATAAAAGTTTTTAAAAGTCCATACCCTACTATTTTTGGGGTCGCTCTTTCGAATGGTGTGGTCAAAATTTTCAAAGAATGATATTTAACCCTTCTTTTTTCAAAAATACTATAAAAAGTCAAGTTTTTTTAATGTAATTTTTTTCTAAAGAATTTTTTTCTGTGTCTTAACGCTTTTCAAATAGAACAAAAAGTATCAAAAACGTGTTCCCGATAGTTGTACTTGAAAAATATTCATTTCTAAATTTTATTTTTTTCGATTTTGAATTTAAAATGGCGCTTGAAGGACAAAATTTTTTTCTTATTTTACGTAAGATGACAAACTTTTTCAAAATTGCTCAAATCTGATTGAAATATGTTACTCAGGGGTTTTCGTGGTCGCTGATTACGAATCTGATGTCCATTTGCCAAAATTCAAAATGGCGGATCCAATATGGCGGATGACTTTTTTAAAAAATTGATCGAATTCGCTTGAAACTCGTTACTCGGGGGTTATCGGGGTCGCTGGTTACCAATCCGATGTCAGTTTTTCAAAATTCAAAATGGCGGATCTAATATGGCGGACGAAATACAAAAATTGTTCAGATTTGCTTGAATCTTGTTACTCGGGGGTTTTTGGGGTAGCTGATTACGAATTTGGTATCAGATTTTCAAAATTCAAAATGGCGGATCCAATATGACAGATGACTTTTTTAAGAATTAATCGGATTCGCTTGAAATTTGTTACTCTGCGGTTTTTGGGTTCGATAATGACGAATCTGACGTTAGATTAAAAAAATTCAATATGCCGGATCCAGAATGGCGGACGAATTTTTCAAAATATCTCAAACCTGATTGAAACACGTTACACGTGGGTTTTTGGAGTTGCTGGTTGCGAATCCGATGTTAGTTTTTCAAAATTCAAAATGGTGGAATCGATAAGGCAGACGAGGTGTAAAAAAATATCCTTACCAATTCTTATAGCTATTTTATACCAAGCATTTTGAATTTTTAAAAACGAACATCGGATTCGCAATCAGTGGACCCGAAAACCCTACATTAACAAAATTCAAGTGAATCCGACTAATTTTTTAATTTCGTCTGCCATATTCGTTCCGCCATTTTGAATTTTAAAAAACTAACATCGATTTTCTCGTACCATAGATCACTTTTAAATTTTCCTGTCACATATTGTGAAATATAGATAAGTTGATACTGGTAGAGTCAGAGCAAAAAGAGTATAATAATTCCGCCATTTTGAATTTTTGGAATGTGACTTCATATTCGTAATCAGCCACCCTAAAAATACCACCCTAACAAATTTCAAGCAAACCTGAGTAAATTAAAAAAATTAGTCTTTCATTATACTTTGGCCACTTTGAATTTGTTGAATCTAACGTCAGATTCGCCATAAGTGACGCGAAAAACCGCAGAGTAACAAATTTCAAGCGAATTCAATCAATTTTTAAAAAAGTCATCTGTCGTATTGGATCCGCCATTTTGAATTTTGAAAATCTGATATCAAATTCGTAATCAGCTACCCCAAAAACCCCCGAGTAACAAGATTCAAGCAAATCTGAACAATTTTTGTATTTCGTCCGCCATTTTAGATCCGCCATTTTGAATTTTTAAAAACTAACATCGGATTTGTAATCAGCGGCCCCGAAAACCCCCGAGTAACGAGTTTCAAGCGAATCCGATCAATTTTTTAAAAAGTCATCCGCCATATTGGATCCGCCATTTTGAATTTTTGAAATCAGACTTCAAATTCGTAATCAGCGACCACGAAAACCCCTGAGTAACAAATTTCAATCAGATTTAAGCAATTTTGAAAAAGTTTGTCATCTTACGTAAAATAAGAAAAATTTTTTGTCCTTCAAGCGCCATTTTAAATTCAAAATCGAAAAAAATAAAATTTAGAAATGAATATTTTTCAAGTACAACTATCGGGAACACGTTTTTGATACTTTTTGTTCTATTTGAAAAGCGTTATGACACAGAAAAAAATTCTTTTGAAAAAAATTACATTAAAAAAACTTGTTTTTTTTTAGTATTTTTGAAAAAAGAAGGGTTAAATATCATTTTTTGAAAATTTTGACCACACCATTCGAAAGAGCGACCCCAAAAATAGTAGGGTATGGACTTTTAAAAACTTTTATGGCTCTTTTCTACTAATTGTAAGAGATTGAATTTCATGTTGAAAAGTAGCACATCTCGTCGTTAAAGGGTTAATAAATAAAAATAAAAATTAATGTTTTAAAGTATTAAGATAAAATTTCAAAAAATACAAAATTTCATTTTTTTTATGAAAATCTAAAATATTTATTAATTCTATAAATATTGATAAAATATATACTTTATATACATGAATCGATTCGTTTTTATGTCAGAAATGCAATTTTGACAAGAATTAATGAAATTTTTAATATAGAAAAAAGTTTTTTTAAAAAATCCAAAAATTAATTTTTTCAAAAATTAAAAAATTGTTGAAAAAAATTTTTTTTTAGATATTTTTGAAAATCCTTCTGTCTGATTTTTAGTATTCATGACCGTAATACACCTACAAAATTTTATCAAAATCCGTCAAGACGTGTAAGAGAAAATTTGTCCACAAGAATCGGTGACATACACACACACACACACACACATACATCCGGACATTTGTTCCTCTCGACGAATTATATATACTACACTTGAAAATTTGTAAAAATAATTTATTCTAAAAAATTCGGAAATCGACATCACTATAAGGCTTCCTTTATGAGGAAGCAAAAACAGAAATAGTAGCTTTTAGTTGCTGAAATCTAAAAAAAAGTAGCCAAATAGTAGGTTTTAGTAGATGATTGCGAAGCCTGAACATTTAAAAAAAAAATTTCCTTTAACAAGAAAAGGATTTTTTTCTCCCTTTTTTGCAATATTTTGAATTTAAAAATTCATATGTTACATTTGAGTGTTAAGAGAATAAGCATCATTACAATTGTAAATGTGAATGACAATCATCTGTATTTAGATTAATTGCAAAAATTAGGAAATTGGATTAGCCTTGAATTATGAAGCAGGTCAGTATCAAACAACGTTGACTAAACCTACGCAAAGCTCGACCCCAATGATTTAACTGAATATTAGCCACAAGTTCCCTATAAGTGCAATAGTACTTGGTATAGAGCGAAATACTTTAATGGACTTGAAATTTAAAGCCAATCACAAAATACACTAAATAATTCAATTCAATTTTTCTGCAAATTATCGAATGAAATTATCATTAATAAATGTAAATTTAACTATAATGATCTACAAACAGCAGTTTATAAATTCAACAGAAAACAATTTCACCAAATTTATATAAACTGATCCGTTGAAAATAAAATGGAATAATTAAACAACCAATTTATAATTAAATGAAATATTTCATTAGTATTTATAATATTTGAATTAAAAATAATAATTATTATTATATATGTACCTAATAAAAATGATAATAATTTATTTCATAAATATTTTATTTATTACCTATTTATTAGTTTTTTTGAAATTTCCACAAAAAGCGTGGAAAATTTTTTATTTTCGCATTTGAACGTTTTCGTCGGTTGCACAATGAACTGAATTTACAATATACGTATACCCAATTACCCGAGTAAATTGAAAGCATACATTTCATTTATCTTGGTACACATTCCTGAATGAAGGAACAAAATGGAACCTATTTTCTAAAGCACTTTTTCTCTATACATATACTATATAGATCAGTGAACACCGTAAAAATATCATCAATTTCTTAAAGAAAACTTCTTTACATAACTCAATATATTGCGAAAGCCATATAAAAGTTATAAAGCAATTCACCAAGAATTTTTCAATTTTCAAAATAAATTCTTAAACTTTTCTCAAACGGTGTGAATTTTCAATAAAAGATTTTCTCGCGCGCAAATTTTCTCATAATTAACTATGACAATGAATTTTCATACAGAAAAAAAGACAACTCTGCCAATCCACTCAATTAAAAGCAAAGTGAGCAGCAAATTAACATTGGGGCCTTAACAGTCATATACTGTTAGTTGTAACAAATTAGTAACGAAAATAATGGAAAAATTCAAAAGATGAAAATGATTGAAAAAGAAAATATTTTCCTATGATTTCAGGGCGATCTGAGAATGACATTAGAAGAAAGGCTAATGGAGCAATCATCATTGGCGGAGACGGAAATGCGTTTAGGGGATAGACGTAATTTTTTGACGGAAAAATGTATACAGGAGGGTCTCGATCGTTCTGGCAATGACTCGCTTCACCGAGCAAATGCCTGGGAATTCCTTATAAATAGAGAGTACCATTTGATTTGGTGCAACGTGTTCAAAGCAGCATCAACATCATGGATGTACAACTTCAATTTACTCGCCGGGTAGGAATTCCCTCTGCTTTACAATTCTACGAGATTTCAAATTCTCCCTCTCTCTTAAAACAAAAAAAAAGTCTTATTTCAAGGCAGTCTTAATTCTTAAATTAAGATCCAACATTTTTAAGGCAGACGTATGTAGTTGAATTTATGACTGACCTGAAAAGTTAAGATTTTCTTTTTACTGTGGGCAATTTAATTTAGGGCAATTTAAAATTTATATTGGAAATACTTTACAGATACAGTCCACAATTCCTCAAGGCAACCAAAGCCGTGCCTGTTTATTTAGCACGACAAAGATATCCTCGTCCAACTGCTGAGGAACTGGGAAAGTTTCTAAACGACAGCATAAGTTTTCTGATCGTGAGACATCCTTTCGAACGATTGCTCAGTGGTTACAGGGATAAGTTTGAACAAAGCTTGCCTCATACATTTCACAGTAAACTTGGATCCTACATTGTATCACACTACAGACAAAGAGTAAGTTCATGTCAATTTTTATACATCTTAAGAAATTATTCCATTTTTTAATTCATCCAAATCATTCTTATTTTTCGTATTATCTTTTTCATTCATTTTTATTATTATTTATCATTATTTATTATTAATATAATTTATTTATTATTAAATAATAATGCATTTCATTAATATTAATGCACTGAAAACAAATTTTTAATTTTAACATTTCTATTATGATGAGGGTCAAACCATTTTATTTCGCCTAATGTATTTTTGACCTTTATAAAAAATTTCAATACTTCGGGAAAATATTCTTACATGTTTTGAGATTACGAAATGCACAAAGATTTGTAAAAAATAATTTCATTTCATATAAAAAAGATATTATAAATTGAGAGTACATGAAAAAAGGTTACATTGACAGGCATTACAAAATATTTAAAAAAGGAGTAATCTCTTTAAGAAATATAAAAAGAGCGATTAATATTTATTTTTAAAGACTAAATTTGTGATTTGAACTTTATAAAAGTATCAAATAATTTATAATAAACTGTAAAATATGTTATTTAAGTTTCTGTATGAAATGTCAAAAATCGATCATATTTAACAATTTTTTTGACAAAGTAATTTAATTTTAGTAAATCAGAATTATTTAAATAATAAGTATTTTAAATACACTTTAATATTATTTAAATACTTTTTTGATTGTCAACTGAGAAATATATAAAAATTTACCTTAAAATTAATTATTTACAAAAATTTTAATAAAATCCTTCCCAAAAATTCAATTATTTTTACATGTAATAAAATTTTTCACATGAATTCAATTATTTAAAAAAATTTAATAATATTCTAAGCAAGAATTCAATTATTTTCATAAATACAGACAATTTTTCCTATGATTTCAATTATATTTTTAGTATAATTTTAAATAAATTCCTCGAAAAATGTAAATATTTTCAAAACTTTTTTGCAAGAATTCAATTACATTTCACAAATAATGAAATTCTTCACTTAAATTCAAATATTTTCAAAATCTGCTATTTTAAGATTATTTCTTAAAAGAATTCAATTATTTTAAAAAAATGTAATAAACTGCATTCCAAGAATTCAATTATTTTCATAAATAATACAATTCTTTAAAGGATTTCAATTATTTAAAAAAACTTTAATAAAAATTCATTGTAGGAATTCAATTATTTTCATAAATAATAAAATTCTTCACAAGACTTCAATTATTTTTAAAAAATATAGGTAATAAAAATTCTTTACAAGAATTTAATTATTCTCCTAAATAATAAAATTCTTCACAGGATTTCAATTATTTTTAATACAATTTTAAGTAAATTCTTGGAAGAATGTAATTATTTTCAAAAATATTCAAAATTCAATTATTTTTGAAAATACATGCTATAATTGCTTTTAATATTCAATTATTATGTAAAATTTTAAATAAAATTTATTTTTAAATCAATTTTTATTCGAAAATTCTACGAGAATTCAATTATTTAAATGCAGAAATAGATAATTTATTGAAAAATGAATCTTTTTCAAAATTTTGTTACTTTTGATTTAAATAATTGAATTTTTGCAATCATTCATAACTGCTTCTAAATTTAATTTTTTCCAGTACTTTAATAAAAATTCCTGACTTTTCCCTGACCTGTGGCAACCATGGAAATGTTTAATATTTATAACATAAACAACTTGCAGAATTATTAATTATTAATATTCTAATTAACATTAATTATTAAAAAATTTAATAAATCTTATAGTAAATAATTTATCATTTTAAGATCTTTAAACAAGTTACAATTTCATGATTCATAAACTTTCAACTTCAAATTAGCGGACGAGATTTAATTCAAGAATAAAAAACAAGAAAGAGAACTATAAATTTTTTTAATAAAAGATAATTTAAAACTGAAATTTCTAATTTAGGTAAATTCAGTACTGAAATTTTTAATTTATCAGAAAAAAAGTTATTTTTGAACCAAATACACTGCTTTTTAATTCACCCGCATCGGTTACTTTAAAATTTATTTAACCTAAATAAATATTTGTTCAATCAAATAAATATTTGTTTCACTTCATACAGTAAAAACATTAACGCTCTAAATTTGAATCCTTTAAAAATAACATGATAACGAAAGAAAATTAAAATTCGAAAATAATAATTAAAAAAAAGTCAGTCACAGATTTAAATAGGTTTGATATTTCCTAAGGCAAAAAGGTCAAACTCGATTTTATTATAAAAAAAAGTTATTTTCACAAAATTTAGATTTTGAGTATAAAAATAAAATTTTTCACATTTCTCCATTCAGTAAAATTAAAAAATTATCATGCACTATACGTACAAAAGTCGGTAAAAACAAAAGTTAAAAGCAAAAAAAGTTTTTAAATAAAATACCAAAAAAAAAATATCAATTTTCTAAAAATGAATTGTGGATGGAATATAAAACAGAATGCAAAAGTAATTAACGAGAGAAAAACTTTTCTCATATTGACATTTTTTCGGTTCTACATTCTTCTATCGATTTTTTTTCATCCTTCTTTTTCACAGTGTGTTTCAAATTTCAATTTAAATTGCTATTTTATTTTAAATCAATAAAAGTAATTTACGATTTAAAATTAAAAAAGCTTTAATTAGTTTTTCGTCTATAATAAAACTAGAAAAAAAGTCCTGAGAGCATATAAACGTTTCACGTCAGAGTCATATATCAAAACACGTTTTGTAGCAAGAGTGGAAGTTTTTTTAATTTTTTTAAAAATTTTAATTAATTGAAATTAATATTTTTTTTCTTGTAAACATAGAGTAAGAAAGGAGGAGGCAAACAAGGACCGAGGTACCCATTGTTTGATGAATTCGTGAGATGGCTTTTGTGCGAGTGGCGAGCAGGAAAAGAATTAGACATGCACTGGACACCAGTCGTCAGTTTTTGTACACCATGTCAAGTGCGATTCGATGTCATTGCCAAATTTGAAACATTACACGTGAGTATTATTTGTCGATAATAAAAAGTTAATTAAAATTCTTTCATTTTAAATTCAACACCTCTTCGATTTTATTCTCCACTAAATTTATAGCATCGAAAAATATTTATTCACACCACAAAATCAATATTAGAACATTCTATCTCACCTTTTTGGGGTGTGAAAAATTGCAAATAATGTGAACAACATTTTTTCAATCCAACAATTAATATTCGTTTTTTAACAAATTCTGATTTTTATTCTCTGTGAATAAAAAACACTTGTACAAATAAAATAGAATAAAAAAGGAAAATAAATAAAAAATAAATAAAAAATGAAATAAAAAGAATAAATATAAAAATGATACAAGAGAATAAAAAATGAAATAAAAGAATAAAAAATTGCAATAAAAAAATAAAATGAGAACAAAATAAAAATCAAAGTTTGTATAGAAGGAAATAATTGAGTTACATTGAAGAAGAATTAAAGTATAAAATGTTATCGAATCATTGTTGAAGTAATGCAATTGAGCAAAGCGGATAATATGAGATTATATGAATAAATAAAAAATGTCACTCTATTAAAGGGCTTTGTGTAACGAGAGAAATATAAAAGAATGAAATAATACGGCTTCGGTTCGAGAGTTACGAGAGAGACCCAGATTTCAAAAGAATTGGATCAAACAATTTATAATTCATCAATCTTTCCCCTAAAATCTCTAACATGAAACTTTTCAATCAGAATACCTACTTGATTGAAATTTTGCGGTTGATATATTAATAGAAAAAAAATTCTTCACTGACAAAAATTATTTACAATTTAAATACAATTTAAAATTTTATTGCAATAATTTTGAGAAATCATTAAAAAAATTAATTATAAAGTTTCTAAATGTTAAATTTAAGTTTTTATTTTTTTATTGTAATCAGTAATTATTCTAATTTATGAGAATATTTTTAATAATCAGTATTTATATTTAATAACCAGTATAAAAAATAAAAATAAAAATATTAATATAATGACTTAATTAACTCAAGCTTTTCCCAAAAATTATCATTTCAATAAAAAAAAAAAAAAAATTAAAAGCAAATGTTGTACAAAACCAAAGACAACATTTAAAATTATTAAATTTTTTTAAACACGTGTATGTTGAACCAGAAATAAAGAAATGGTTCACATAGAAAGTAAAGTCAGGAAATTTATTCAAGCAAGCAACCACTTAATCTTCAAATATAAAATTAGCTATCTTCAATAGAACTTTCCTTGGATGTATGCCAACATCTATAACTAGAGTTGAACTTTCTAATGGAATTCAGTGAAAAGCATTTTATTTTATTTTCCACCCCGCAAGATAAATTACAGAAAAAAAAGAGAGAAAAAAAAGTAATGAGACTCTCATTTAAAATTTCAGGACGACCAAAATTATTTGATTAAAAAGGCCGGAGTGGGACACATCATTAAACCTGAATGGCAAAATCCAACTCGCGGTGCGCAAACAAAAGATGTAATAAAACATTACTACAAACAACTTTCAATTAATCAAGTCAACGATTTGTATGGCATGTTTAGGTGAGTGTGCAAATTTTTTAAATAAATAAATCATACTTTTCAATTAAATAATCAGGGTTGCCACGCGACTGCTCATTTCAAATTCCCTGACTTTTCCAGACTTTTTATTTATATTCAAAAATAATTGAATTCTTATTTAGAAATTGACTAAAGAATTTTATTAAAGTTATGGAAAATAATTCAATTTTTCATAAAATTTTATTATTAAGGAACAGAATTTTTCCAGGTTTTTAAAACTATTTATATTTTACAAAATTAAATAATTAGTCATTATAATTTTTCCATAGGAATTAAAAATCTTCGAAAGATTCAAATTCAAACCTTTTTGAAATTAAACTTATAAAAAATTATTATAAAACATGAAGATATCGATTGCTTCATGTTTTATAATAATTAAAAATGACCGACTGATAAAATCATTATTTTATATTACAAGAATATTGTTACTGTAACTTATTCATAATTACTTTCATTACTTTCATAACTTCAATTCAATTATTGTTTTCCAGAATTATTAACTAAAATTCTTCTTTAAATTAATTATTCATTCATTTTTAATAATTTTTGAAAAATTTATTTGAAAATTTTCAAATCCTTTTGTTTACAATTCAATTTTACGAAATTTCATCGATTATTCGGAAATTCTTCAATCAAATATATTTTAGAAAATAAAAACTTCAAATAACTTAAAAAAAATTTAATTAAACTTTAAAAAAAAAAATTAAATCTACACAATTTTTAGTTAAAAGTATGAAAAATTCAAACATTCAAAGATTATAATTTGAAAACTTTTTAAAATTCAATTACTTCTAAAAATTCAGCTATAATACTTTGTCTCTAAATTTGAATTAGTAAATTTTACTAATAAATTAGTAGAAAACACTATTTATTAGTAAAATCTGCTACTTCAAATTACAAGAGCAAAAAGTCAGCCACTAATTGAAATTAAAAAACATTTATACTAATTCAAATTTAGAGAGTTTAATATTCAATTATTATCTAAAATTTTAACTGAAATTCATATTTAAATCAATTTTTATTCGAAATTTCTACGAGAATTTAATTACTTAAATACAAAAATAAATAATTTATTGAAAAATTGAATATTTTCTGGAATTCAATTCCTATTAAAAGTTTTATCAACAAATTTTTAAATAATTAAATTCTTTGGACGAATTTTAATAACATTTTTAAGTATAATTTCATTTTTCGAGAAATTAGATTAAAATTGTATTAAAAATAATTGAATCTCTGTAAAAAATTTGATTGAATTGAGAAAAGTTTTTGAAAATAATTGAAATTTTTTTAAGAATTTTATTAAAATTTATTTTTGAAAATAATTGAATTTTGGAGAAAAATTTTATTATTTATAAAGGTAATTGAAATTTTGAAGAGAATTTTTTTTAAACTTTTGACCATAATTGAATTACTTTTGAAAATAATTGAATTCTTGAGACGAATTTTATTAAGATTTCTTTTTAAACAATTAAATTCTTTTCTGAAATTTTATTGAAATAGTAGATATTGAAAATAATTGAATTTTGATAAATTATTGAAATTAATTAAATTTCTACGTAGAATTTTATTAAAATTATTTTGAAAAAAAATTAAATTGTTAAAAAATATTTCATTAAAATTTTTGAAAATAATTTAATTCTTTCAAAAAATGGAATTTCTTTGATGAATTTTAATAAAAACTTTAAGAATAATTACATTTTTCGAGAAATTCCTTTAAAGTTTTATTAAAAATAATTGAAATTCTGTGATGAGTTTTATTATTTATGAAAATAATTGAATTTCTTTAAAAAATTTGATTATTTATCGAAAATAATTGAATTATTGCGAAGAAAGTTATAAAAATGTTCTAAATAATAGAATTCCTGTGAAATTTTTATTATTTAATTAATTCATTCAAAATTCAATCTCAGTAAATTGAATCTCTGTAAAAAATTTGATTGAATTGATAAAAGATTTTGAAAATAATTGAAATTTTTCTAAGAATTTTTTTAAAATTTTTGAAAATAATTGAATTTTGGAGATAAAGTTTATTATCTATAAAGATAATTGAAATAATTTAATTCTTGAGACAAATTTTTTAATAATATTTCTGTTTAAATACCTAATTGAATTCTTTTGTGAAATTTTATTCAAATAGTAGATATTGAAAATAATTGAATTTTGATAAATTATTGAAATAAATTAAATTTCGACGAAGGATTTTATTAAAATTATTCTGAAAAATAATTGAATTGTTAAAAAAAAATTTGATTACAATTTTTGAAAATAATTTAATTCTTTCAAGAAATTTAATTAAAAATGTATTGACAATAATACTTAAATTCTAATAAATAAATTGTAGGAAGACTGTTTAAAATAATTGAATTTTTCTGATGAATTTTAATAAAATTTTTAAGAATAAATTACATTTTTCGAGAAAATCCATTAAAATTGTATTAAAAATAATTGAAATTATGCGATGAGTTTTATTATTTATGAAAATAATTGAAAACCTATAAAGTTTTTTATTATTTATGAAATTAATTGAATCTAATTAAAAAATTTGATTATTTTATGAAAATAATTGAATTATTGCGAAGAAATTTATAAAGAATTTATAAATAATAGAATTCCTGTAAAATTTTTATTATTTATGAAAATAATTAAATGTTTGCGTAGAATTTTATTCAAATTTTTTTTAATAATGGGATTCTTTGGGAAAATTGAATTATTGCGGAGAAAAATTGTAAACGCAACTCTTTTAGAATTGAATTAATTTTGAAATATTGAAGAAAAATTAGATTTCAAGAATAAGCACAATAACTTTAGAAAACAATAATTTTCCAGGATTCCGATCAAAATTCCCTGACTTTTCCAGGTTTTCCAGGTTGCGTGGCAACCCTGATTAATGATTAAATAATTACAAAGAATTGTTTGAAAAAGTAAACTTTCTGTAGTAAACAAATTCTTCATTACATAAAGATAAATATTTTGCCAAGCGACTTTTTTCTTTACTTTTTTTGCCAATGAAAATACAAACTATTTTTTAAAAAATTCCTTCACCTAACAAATTTTTTATTTCAGGTACGATTTTATTTTATTCGACTACTCGCCAGCTGAATACATAGCTCTAGGAAAAAATGAGGCTACTACATTAGTATGCAAGAAGTAAATTAGAATTAACCAAAAAAAAAACCATTAGCCTTTTGTAAAAACGGTAAAAAGTACCTTAGTTTTTTTTACAAATTTCATTATAAAATGAAAATTGTATCATAGCAACGAAACCTTCGCGTGATAAAAAAAGAGAGTACGAATCTTGTAAGATATAGTTAGAATTCACGAAAACACAATTTTATTTATTTAAAAATCTCTCTCCAAAAAATAAAAAGAAAAAATTCCAAATTTTTCTTGGAATTAAGTAGAATAGAAAATTTTATAATAAAATTAATAAAAAAAGAATTATAATTACAGTGCTTATAAAATTTGCCTGTATATGTAAATAATAATTAGACAAAGAATTGTTGCGAGAAATTCGTAAAACATTGGAAACTCTATTGATTAAAACATAGTTGTATATGTTATATTGACTAAACAGTCGCATTTCTTGTACATTTTACAAATATTCTTCAAAAAATTTTCTAGATCAAAATTATTATTTATTATTTAAATTATTAAATTGTTATTAATTTATTAATTTTAATATTTATAAACTTGTTTTAAATTAGTAAGTTATAAAAAAAGATTTTAATAATTTCATGAAAGATGATTGAATGTAAAGTAAAAAAATAATTTACTTTTAATTGATGAAAAATTTGAACGTTTATTTGTTAATAATTAAATTTTAATTAAAAAAACAGAAAAAAGTGACCAAACATTTTTTTAACACTTTAGAAAAAAGAAATAAAACAATTTTAATTAAAAAACACAAACATTTTTATTTAAAATAAATAAAATAAATAAAATTGTAAAACAAAAAAAAATTTTACACTAAATTTTGTCAAAACTGCAAGTAGGTAAAATTTTAATCAACTTCCCGAATTAAAGAAACAACTATTTTTAAAATAACAATTACTGCCTCTAATTAATAAAAAAAAAGAAAACACCATAAACAAGAAGATAGAAGACTTTTTTAAAAATCAATTTTACTTCAAAGAATTTTCATTTTGTGCTTAGTTTTTCTTAAAATTATCGTTGTTTTTTCACTAAAATATTCCAATCATTAGTGGAATTTGTAACATAATTAACAAATTGTCAGATAAAAATTTGTATCTCAAGAGGCAACAATTATTTGTTAAAAAATTGTTGTTGAGCCTTATTATTCGAGATATGTATATTATCAAAAACGCATCAATGTAGACAGGGCACAAATTAGATTTTTGCCTTAAATATTTGTATATCATTAATTAAAAATATTACCTATCTGGTTTGGATAGACAAAAAAAAACTTTTAAAAAAACTCAATAATATTGTTAAATAATTAAACTATATCGCTTAATATTCTTTCGCTCAAAAGAGAAAAAATGAAAGAAAATAAAATTGTAAAAACCTTTGAATGAGTGATAGAAAAATATTTTTTAACCATTTTTAATTGTTATGAGAATTTTTGCTTTTATTTCTCGAGTGCATTTAAAATTGTTTTAAAAAAAATGTCGAGAGAATGTTATTTTTTAATGTTTTTCTGCTTGTCAAAATAAATTTAATTCTCTAGTCTTATAGGCGAAATTCTGTTAAAATTTCATCTAATTTTTTTACTAAAAATGTTTGTCACATTTTAAAAATCATTTAATATTTTAATGTAAACTCTGTACTTTTCTTTTCATTGTATTTTATCAGATTTGTCTTTAAAAAAAATAATTTTCTTCATTGAGAAAAATAAAAAATAAATTGAAAACAAATTTCCTGTTAATGAATTACCCCAAATATTTCTGTAATATTCTCGTGGTAGATTTTTAAGAAACTTACCAATTAGTCGCATTACGAAGAGCAACTAATACTATCCATTTATCATCGACTATATATTGATGAAAATAACGAATTGTTAAAGGCTGATAACATTTCACAATTTCATTTTGAGATTCTATTATCGGTTCGCATGAATATGTAACCCACTATAAAGTGTTAATTATTTACTTATTATTAAAAATAATTTATTATATTAATTTATATTTTTGTACTATATATTATTTACTCACAAATTACTTTGTGAAGAAAAGAAAAAGAAAAAAAAACAGAATTTTAAAAAGAAAATAAACCAACCTCTCCTTGAAAATTGTTTTCAAGCTCTTCTCCAAACTTAACACGATATGCAAATTGCTTGGAAATTGTTTTTATTGATGATTCAAACTGCTGAATATTAGTTGTCGCTTGATCAATTCGTTCCTCGACATTATGCAATTCAGTAAAAAATTTATCCTGAATAGGATTTTCTTTAACAATTTTTGGCATAAATTCATCGTCACTGGCAAATAAATCATCCTCATCTGATAAATTCATTTTTCTCTCTTTTTCAATATGTTTTTCGACAACTTATGCAATTTTTTAATTATTTCCTATTTTTCTATACTTTAAAAAGTAACAAATAAAAATACTTTAAAAATTGTTTCCTTAAAGTTTCTTGATATATACAATAATATAACCTCAAAATCATCTATTAAAGAACAATTTTTAAATACTTATACAGAAAAAGTACTTCACACAGTAAACCTTTTGAGATATTTGAAGAAAAGAAATCTTGCTTATAATAAAAAAAGTATTGTATTTATTAGAGCTTTTAAAGAAACAATTAAATAATTGAAAAAAACTAAACTTGAAATACTATTTTACGACGTTTACGACAAATGTAAAGATGTAAACAAAACAAGAAATATCAGTGCTACCAATCGACGAAAAAGAAAATTGGATATATTTTGTTGGCTATATTGAATGGCGGTAATATTCAAATCAACAAGTATACTGAACTGAGGAAAACTGAAGAAATTGTTTGTTTCCATACAAACGAATACAAAACAATTATCAGAAGAAAACTCAATTGTCTACCTAACATTTATTTTTCAAAAAACCTCTTTAACTAACTTTTAAAAATATTAACTAATATTAATAATTAGGTAATTAATATATTAACACATAGTTAATAAAGAATCATTAATTGAATATTAATATTATTTTTTAATTCAATATTTTATTAACTTTAATATTTTTTAATATTTCGATTGTTTTAACGCGGTTTAATTTAAAAAAATATATTAATTTCATTTGTCATCAGACAAATTATTTAAGTTTAATTGCAACAAATTAAATTATAATTATAAATAATAAAAAAAAACATAATTACAAGTGGTTAGCATGCAACATAATAATCAGCATTTTGTGATGGGCATAATATTCTATAAACAGAAATCCTAAATTTTTTGTGATTATTTGAGCACATTTGTTTTACCGAATTTAATTAATTCGCGATATGAAAGCGAAATTTTTTTTTTAAATTACATTTTTTTTCCCGATTTATATAAGAAACTGAAAAAATTAACATACTGTTAGATGATTATGAATATTATAAATATATTTTTAATTCTTAGTCCTTTTTTCAAAAATCTATCTAAAAAAACTATTTTTCTGTCATTTTTTTCATGAAATTAACTAATAAAAATTTATTATTAAATAAAATTGATAATAAGTTGATAATCAGTATTTATTCCAATTTATTCGAATGCCACGATTTTTTGCGGTTAATTCATCGAAAATTTAATTGGGCGCAGATAAATTTCCTTCAAACTAAATTCTCGATACTTGTGAAGTTAGAAATAATAGGAAAATATTAATTTCCCCTTTTTCGATCAATCCTCCTATTAATATTAAAAGAGGAATATATTCGTGAACATTATTCATTGAATAATTGATATATTCTGACATTAGATAGGAAAAACTTATTTCCCAGATAAAAGCAGCAACCACCTGTCACTACAAAATATAAATCAATCTGCTTCCGTGTTGGTTCGAATCGTTTACTCTGCAACATGATGGATAGAGATTGAAAAAATAAAAACCACTTACTGCTACTTATTACTTTGAAAATTATCCTGTTCGCTGATGAAAGCATCGGAGATTATCCAGTGATTCTATATCCTTGTGAAAGAGACCTTTATGCATTTCTTTTAGTCCATTTAGCTTTATATTTGTTTTCACCAATCGTTTTTTCTATCTGAAAAATAAAACAATATTTATCAAAATAAAAATATTATTAACATAAATCAAGAAAATAAAAAATAGTACATTTGTGGAAAATTTTCCAAAGATTTTTAAAGTTTTTGATCGAGAACGACAGAAACAATAAAATTGGATGAAAAAATGCTTCTTTCGTAAAAGAGATTCGGCACTAAACTATTTAACACCTATTTGAAAAATACGATTTCTTTATGTTTCAGAGACAGTCATTTAAATGACCTTCGTAAATATATTTTGAGGTTATCTTGTCAAATTGTACACGGCATCTTGAATGTGTTCAAAATTATATCACCACTAAACTATTTTAATAGTTTAGTTAAGTTTAGTTAATTAATAGTTTAGCTTAATTCACCTTGATTAAAACAAGTACGAAAACCTTTTATACTTTTCGTGACATTTTTGCAAAAATGTGTGCTCAGGGGACTACAAAACAATCGACAATGAAAAAACGGTTAATGCACATGCGCACTGCGGTATTAGCTCGACAAAGGAAATTAAAATATAATATTTATTTATAATAAAATACTAAAATGAGACATTTTTATCATTAATTGGTTAGAATAATAGTCAATTCCACTGAAAAGAAGAATTATTTATAATGCAAGCACAAAATTATTAAATATACCTTTCCACGATTTCCGACTTTGACAAAATGACCGCGCAACAAAGGAGAGAAACCTCAAAGGATCCGCCATTTTGTTTTGGAACAACGCCACCTTTGTATTTGTTCAGAAACAGACATCTATGCACGAAAACTCTGAAAAACAAACAAATACACGTTTTTATGTCTATTGCTATAAGTAAAAGTAGAAAATTTTGCCAATTTAAACTAATTTTCAATTACATTTCATGTGTGCGACGAAATTTCACTGCCGTTTCTTTACAGACAATAAGGAGCCGGACGTCAGGAAACACTTTTCTATTTCTGAATCTGACATCTGCACTTTTTGATTCACTATTAGAATCTATTAATGCGGAATAATAGTCAAATTAATAATGTACGTGAAGAGAATTGTATTCAAAACCAGCAACCATCAGCAACGATGTGCACTAGATGCACTCAGTATTCAGTGAAGAAAGTGAGGCTCTGTGATATAAGGGTTCGTTTGTACTGTCAGAGATGGCGCTGACTGCATGTGGCGCCAAATTATGAAAATTTAAAAATAGTACAGGTTATGTCTGTTTGTTTACGTTGTTTACTGTCAAATTAATTATGGCGTTACTAATAATAATATCAATAATCGATTTTAAAGTGGCTACTAATCAATAAAATAATATTTTCTCATGTGTAAAATATGAAAATCATTTTCTGAAATAATAAAAAAAAAATTAATTCCAATAAAATGTGATAAAATGGGTAAAATGTTAACATGAAACATAAGAAAACAAAAAAAACATCAAACATTAAATTCTTGTACCTTTAATTATTTTTATAGATATACATTAATATTTAATTACCTTTAATTAATAATAACTAATAAGTTTATTAGCATTCATAATTAACTAATTATTATTTTTCTTTCCTTACATAAAATGTCATTTTTACGACTCACTTAAGTGACGACAAAAGAATAATCGTCCATTATTTTCAAAATTAAAAAAATAACAATAAACTACTCAGTGAAATTAAATAATAAAAAATTGTAAGCGAAAAAAATGGGATGTTTAGAATTATTATCGAATTGTTTTTGGTTTTTTTCTTCAAGTCAAAACTTTTGAACACGTATATTTCACACGTTTGACAATTTCTTATTCTATTTTAAATATATTACAAAAAAATGTACACTCCGGAAAATATAATTATCAGATAACCAATTATTTTTTATTACACATGTTATGTCATTTTTTTTTCACTTTTTATGCTTTCAAAAATCGTAAAACAGCCTATATTTATTGTTGGTCAACTCGAAAATATATTCAGTTTTCGTTTGTTCAGAATAGCGTTTAGAATAATCCGAAAGCTCCTGGTTTTTCATTTTTAATAGAATGATTCGACTTGGAATAGTGTAATTAATATAATTTTTATTTTTAATAAAAATTTTCAGCTTTATTAAATTATTTCCAATAACGAAAAATTTAATTAACAAATTATATTTTCTTTACAGACTTTATATTTTTGTCATTGCAACTGCAGAACAGGTTGAAAATAAAGCAGGAGAAAATGATTTGAGTTCCGATGTGTGTCATTCTACAGAATGTTTCCAAATTGGTGAGTGAACTCCCCGAAAAAAATAGAATTTATTTTTGTCAGTCGAGAAAATCAATTAATTCTTGAAATAAATTTTTATTTAATTAAATAAATGATTTTATTTATTGCAGCTCACGATATTTGGCAGAGTATGAACCACTCTGTAAATCCTTGTGACAATTTTTATGAATATGCTTGCGGGAATTTTGGTTCTTCTAATCCCGTTCCAAAATCGGAAATGGCATGGGGTACCGTTCAAAAAATGAGAAGAAAAGTCAGACTACGAATGTTGGGTAAAAAGAAATCGATTTATAATGATAAATTTTACTAAATTAATTATAGTGAAAATTTTTGTTTGCTTGTTTTTTTATATAAAATTCTTAAAAAAAAAGGAAAATGTTTAAAAATCTGTCTTTCTCTCTATTTGCAGAAATGGTGACGGAAAAATATAATTCATCAGATATTTTACCTATGAAGCAAGTGAAAAAATTTTACAGATCGTGTACAAATTACTGTAAGTAAAATTACCAGGATTTTGTTGAATGAATCACTATTTGAATTTTATTTATTTAAAAATGTACTTTTTCCTTTTTAATATAGTTCAGATTGCTCAGAGAGGTCTAAAGCATATAAAAACATATTTAGCACAAATTGGTGGATGGCCATTGATAATGGAACAAGAAGAATGGTCGTCTAACAAAATATCATGGCAGGATATTAATAAATTTTATTCTCGAATGATATTTTTGCCTTCATTTTATCGAGTCAGGGTTACGAGGCATTTCAAAAACTTGAGTGATTTTACTCTCGATGTCGATAATCCTTTCAAAGTTATAACGGTAAGTTGAAAAAAAAATCAAAAAAACATTTTCTCTATCTGTAAATTAATTTTATTCTCTAATTTTGTAATCGTTGCAGATTCTTCCTCCAACTGTGCCTCTAAAATCAATGGCTCTTTACAGTGGAAAATTTTTTAACAAAAACATAACTAATATGTACGACGATGGCTCATATGCAAATTATACTGTAACAATGGCTGACATTTTAGCCAGAAGCCGAAGTGCAAATATCAGCAGAGAGCAATTACTTCAAGATGTTGAAAATATGATTGAATTGGAAAAGAAATTTCAAAATGTAAAATTTTTTACTACTTCAGGAAACATTTTTATCTGTATTCGTAATGATTACGAATATTTTTATTAAAATTATATTTTCATTTTTATAGATATCTGACACCTTTGATTCAGAACCTAATTACGTTAAAATTGACGAACTCCAAGAAATTTACGATAAAAATGCAAAGACACCGGAATCAAGGGTAAATCTTGAAAATGTATTTTCTATTTTATTTCTTTCTTTCGTACTCAAAACTAAACTCATTTAATAATTTACATTATTAGATGAATTGGAAAGAACTGATGACAGAATTCTTTGATGAAGCGAAAGTAGAACTCAATGGTGACGAATTATTTCAAGTTGCAAGTGATGATCATTTTGAAAAATTATCCGAAATTCTCGAAAATACCGATCGTCGAACACTTGGTAATTAAATTAAATTTAATATTTAGTAATTTTAAATTAAATCCTACCTTATTTCAAAATTTTTTATTTAAATCAAAATTGATAACAGAAATATTTTATTTTCAGCAAATTATATGCATTGGCACTTCGTGTCCTACCTTCTCCCCTACACATCACTGTATTTTCAAGCTTTCAGAATTAATTTATTCAATCATAAGGAAGGAATCATGGAAAAACCAAGGTTAATAATTTATAAAAACTCTTTTTTTGATCTTTCTGTTCGGATTGTAAATTAAAAAAAATTATAATCTTTGGGAATTATTTTCTAGATGGGAAAGTTGTATAAGAAATTTGGCAATGCCTCGAGCACTTGCTTATCAATACGTTAAAAAATTCTTCAGTAAAGAAGACAAGGACAAAGTATAATCAAATATTATATTTTTTAATTGATTACAAAATAATAGATTTAATTTTTAATCAATTATTTTAACAATTAATTAACAAAATTTTTCCAGGTCGAACTTATATTTATTGCCATTCAGAAAGAAATGGTTAAGCGCATTAAAGAAGCTAATTGGCTGAGTGATGAAACAAAAAAAGATGAATTGGAAAAAATAGAGAACATGAAAATTAATATTGGTTTTCCAGAATGGTTGAATAATGAAACTTCATTAACCGAAATGTATCAAGGGGTATGTGATTCGTTATTTTAGAAACTGTTCACTTATATTTATTATATAAATATTAAAATATATATAGAGCTACAGTTTATTAAATTGTTTAATTAGAATTATTTTCTTCTTTAAAATGTTAATCTTTAAATTAACATTTTTTTTAATAGACAAAATTGTTTTTAGCTTGTAATTGGAAATCAGTACATGGAAAATATTATAAGTATAAAGAGATTCAATGCCAAAAAGGATCTAAAGTATCTGAAGAGTACTGCAAAAATTAAAGAGTAAAATTTTTAAATTAATTTTACAAAAATATTACTTTTAACTATATCAATGAATAAATGTGAAATTATTAATTAATTATGTTTCTCAGCTGGTACGCACATCCAATATTTGTAAACGCCTACTTTTTCCATCATAAAAATATCTTAAGTAAGTTTATTTTATTATAATATAGTTTAATTTTAAAAAATCACATAGTATTTTTTTTATATTAATATAAAATAATAATTTTAATTTTAATAAAATATTCAATTTTATATAAAATTTTACTTTAGATATCCCAGCTGCTGCTATACAACCTCCTGTATTTTCTATACTACAACCCAAGTAAGTTATTTATATAGATATACAAATTATTAATAAACGAAAAATAATTAAAATTTTTTAAGACATTAAATTTATGTTTATTATTAATTTTTCAGTACTGTCAATTATGGTGAAATTGGATTTATAATTGGTCACGAAGTGTCTCATGGTTTTGACGCAACAGGTATAAAATAATAATTACCTAACAATTTTTTCAACTATTTATTTATTTTTTAAATATTTGTCATATAAAATAAAAAAGATGTTATATAAAATTAATATAAAATTAAGTTAAAAAATTATTTAATTTATAAAGAATGAAAAACATTTTCAGGCATCGAATTTAATAAAGATGGTAGAAAATATATTTGGCCGGAAGATACAAGACAAGCAATTAAAGAAAAAACTGAATGTTTCGCCAATCAATATGAGAAATTTAAAAATAATAGTGAAAACAAAATCGTCAAAAAGGTTTGATATTTATTTCTTTACTCTAAATAAAAAAAAAATTTTTGAAATTCCCATTTATTTACTTATTTAATATAATAATTTTTTGCTTAATTAAAGAAAAATAATTTACAGAAAGTCGGAAGTAGAATACTAAACGAAAATCTATCAGATTCATTGGGAATATCTCTTATTTTCTCTGCTTTGGAAGAAATCGAAAAAACGAATAAGTCACTTAAATTACCTGGATTTGAAAATTGGAGCAATAAAAAGATTTTCTTTCTCTCTTATGCAAGGGTAAAAATTAAATTAAATTTAATTTTAATCTATATAATTATTAGTTTGAGTGAAAAATTAATTTTTGATAAATTTTCAGTTACATTGTTTTAATGCGACACCAGGTTACGAAAAGATGATGGGAAAATATTTTAATCACAGCCCTCATAAATATCGTGTGAATGGTCCTCTACAGAATTTCGAACCATTTGCAAAAGTATTTAACTGTCCAGTTGACAGTCCAATGAATCCAAGTTCAAAGTGTAAATTATGGTAAAACTTGAATGCGGTAAAAGTTTAATTTCTAAATTAAATCTTTCTAAATAAATCTTCTAAATCTTTAAAAATATCAAAACTGTAAATAATTGTCAAATTTTACAAATTAAATATATATATTCACAGTTTAAAAACATTTATGTACAAATCTTAAGATTACTTACTAAAGAAAAGTATTTAATAACACTTTTGTAATTGAATTTAAAAATTGTTAAAGTCTAACTTTGCTTTTAATGGACAATTCATAATTTAAAGTTAAAAATTATTCGTCATGGTTAATTACAATTTTCCACTATTAAATAATATTAGGAATAAGTGGAACACCTTATCAATTTAATCACCTGCATCTTGCTTTTATTGCACCAAAAAGTGGAAATAGGGCCCAATAACTTCCACTTGTTAATTGAATTATTGCGACAACTCTCAAACACAAATACATATCTGAAAAATTAAAAATTTAATTAGTGCAAAAAATAAATAAGTACTTTAATCTTATATCTTTTTATCTATTATTTTCAATATAATTTTGTTTCTCTTAAATTTTTTCAGTTTAAAGAAAAATTGTGATTTAAATTCAAATTAGAATTTTGAAAATGTATTTAAAATTTATAAATTTCCAATTTACCTTGAATTAAACAAAGAAGTAAAATTATAGTTCCAACACACGTATTAAGTAAGGCACGTGCTTTTGAAGCAATATGAGAACCTAAGGTATTTTGAAATGCAAATTCTTGACAGCTCACTAAACCACCAATACTGATTCCTCCAAAGAGTGCAAAAAATACGAATAAAGAATAATACTCACTTAAAGTTAGTCCTAAAAGTAAAAAATTTAATAAAAATTTAGATAAATTTTCTCTATTACGGCAAAATGAACAAAATGAAAATTTATGAAAAAAGCGAACAAATTATTTTACCTATAAGAACAAAACTGCAAATCCAGTTGGAAAATCCAAAAATTAGATTCCTCGCATTACTTGGATTCCAATAAGAGATGATGCTGGCAACGAGGGTACCAGATGCGCCAATTATGGAAAGAATTACAGCACTGAGAAGATTTGTCGATGGAATTTTCATGACGGCAAGAGGCGGTAAAAGAATCCAAAAAAGCATCATCCCCGATTTCATTCCAACGCAAGCAATAATCGATAGCCAAAATTTAGCCAATTTTAAAATTTGTAAACTCTCCTTCCATTTGGCTCGATTATTATTACTCGATGACGATAGAAAGAGATTGATGTCATCTGAATCATCGTAACTGTACGCAGTCCCACCTTCCGCATAAATACCACGAGGAGTTTCTGTATTTTTTCCATCCTCGGGGAAATTTCCTCTTAAATCTTCCACCATTCTGAAGGAGGGTCCTGCCTCTTCTTCGTCGTCGAAGAGAAGTGTATATGGCGAAGATACTTTCTTTCCTGCAGAAAAAAGGAGAAAATAATATCAGAATAAAATATTAATTTGTAATTGAAATAAAATTGTTAATTTTTGAATCAACAGGTTTGCCACGCTTTTGCTCTTTTCAAATTCCCTGACTTTTCCAGGTTTTTTCAAGGTTTATAAAATTGAATGAGAAAAATTACCAGGCGCTTTTAGAAATCCAATGGCGATGAGAGTGGGAAAGAAGAATAAAACCATAGCCATGAGACCAGCCTGAATGCCTAATCTCGTGAATAATGCTAAAGCCACTAAGGGAGCAATAACAAGTCCTGTGGTGAATGAAATATTAATTAAAGTCGATGCGAGCGGTAATTTTATTCTAAAGTGTTTTTCAAGCATTTTTTCACTCTGTATCATCACAAAACTCGCTCCAATTCCCATTATTGCTCCTGCACTCAGACTCGCCAAATATGCACCAACGCCACCGGTCGCAAGATATCCAGAAGCCAGAATTCCTATCGACAGAAGAGCAATTCCAATCAGAGCCATCAGCCGAGGAACCGATGCCAAACTCACAATTGTCCTCGTCCAAGGATCTGAAAAACAAATTAAATTTATTATAAAAATAATAATCACATAATTTAATTTATATTTTTTAAATTTTGACTTTTACCTGCTAAACAACAACAAGCAGTCATAAGAATTGGTGTCACTATAATTTTTTCATTCCATACATAGAAATCGAGTTTTCTGTTATTTTCGACCAAATGGGCCAAAACAATTCCATACATCGACAATACACTAGGCACTGTCATCTAGATAAAAATTGTCAGTAAAAAATAAATTCCAATTCTTTTGCAAAATAGATATTTCAACAATATTTTCTACGATTAATAATTAATTTCAACAATATTTTTTGCGATTAATAATTAATTTATCAATGTATAAATTTTACTATTAAATGAATGTATGAAATTGAAAACAAAAAATATTTACTTGAACAATCATAATTCCAAAAAGAACAAGCCACGAATTTCCACCATCTGGAATTGTTGGACCTAATTCTGGTATTGAAGTTATCACCTCGTCGAGATGAAGTCGCTTAAAAATAGACATTTTCTTATTTAACACACTAAAGACTAATGAAAAGAAAATAAACAATTTCTTTTCAATTTTTAGCTACATTGAAAATTTAATTCAATGAATAAATTTGTTCAACACTTAAATTTTACGCACTGAATGTGTCTTATCGTTTTGAAGATAATGTTAATATCAGATAAGAAATGATAAGTAAAGAAAAATAAAAGAAAGCATCATACCGGAAAATTAAAATAAACAAAATATTGAAATTACCAAATTATTAATTACTAAAAGAAATTAATTACAAATTTAGAAACTCTTGATTTTCTCTCTCTCTCTCTCTCTTTATACAGTATTTATTTCTTTTCTTTCATATACATGCGAAATGATAAAAAAAATCTTAAATTTGCATTTCGCTTTAAGTCTTAAATATTTTATGTGACTATTAGTTTTTTCGTAAACTATTAGACTATTAGCACTCGTTGATAAGTTTAAAATTCGAAGTTTCTATCCAAACAGGTATAAATAACAAAAAAAAGACTTTCAAGTAAATATTTATAAAAATTCTATAAAATTTGTTTCCTACTATAATTGGTATTAATTCTAAATAGAAAGTTAAATATAAATATCTATTATTTCACAGAGTAACGAAATAATTTCAAAATATATAAAATATACATATCACATTAATTGTTAATAAAAGTTCGTATTTAGTCAATTAATGAATATTAATAGATTTTTAATTAAATAATTGTTCGCCACGTATTAAAACACAAATTTGTCTAAAATAAATAATTTTTTCTTTAGTAAAAAATTTTCTTTGATTTAATCTTCTTTTAATTTTTTTTCTTAGTTTCATTCTTTTTTTTCCAACTTTGTTAAAAAATGGTAAATTCTTTTTTTGAAAATATATTTTCTTTCCCTTTTTTTTGAGAATGTTTTCTTTATACGTCTACTTCTCTAGTTTCACCAGTTGCTATTGTCGTGTATCGCACTCTTTTATTCATAGAATCGAGCACTGGTTCGAATTTCTTCTTCAGTTCTGCTCGTTGCATGTAAATAAATCCACCAACGAGCGAAATCACTAAAAGTGATAATAAACAAACGAGAACAGTTGTTCCCGAGTGCCTGGCAACTCCTCTCAATATTGGCGCGCAGTCTTTCGTCAGATGAATTTTCACTCTATCGTCTATCAACAAAATAGTAAATTAATAAATTAATAATTAAATAAATTCAGAAAGTTAAAGAAAAAAAATTTATCATTATTAAAAATACGAAAATTAAAAGAATTTTCGAAAACATTTTTCTGAAAAGTTATTAAAAAATAATAAAATAATACAAAATCTAAAAAAACCACGAAAAAAATATACCTTTTTTACAAGTATAGTCTTCCTTGTTTCTCACACTGATCTTCGTCTTATTAAACCACTTGATGAATGGATTTAATTTACAATTGCATTCAAATGGATTGAGTGCAAAGTCAACAGTCACAGATTGATTGTGTTTTGCAAATGTGTCCAATGTATGTAAATCACGTTCCAAAACTTTTGCAAATCTATTTCGTTGAAGATCCAAAAATCGTAAATTATGTAGACAAGATAAATTAAAATGTAAAGCAGTCAATTGATTATCACCAAGATGTAAATCCCAAAGATTCGAAAGATCGCAGAAAACATTTGGATCGCGAAATTCGGAAATTTCATTTTGCTCCAAATGCAATTTTCGTAACTTTGTCAAATTGCTGTGGAAACAAATAGATATAAATTAGAATTTTTATTAATTAAGAAATATTTAATTTTTTTTTAATTTTTTGTAATTAAGACATATTTAAAAAAATTAATTTTTTCTAATTATCTTCTGGATAAATATAAAATAATGCGTGGGCATTATTGCACTTATAGACAGGCATAAAACTAGATTTCTTATCTTTTGCGCAATGTTTCAAATTTCACATATGAAATGCATATTCACTTTTCTAACGTAAGCAGAATATTCGAAACTTGAGCAAAATTTTTATATAACGACTCTCGCAGGGTTGCCACGCTTTTGCTATTTTCAAAGTCACTGACTTTTTCCGATTTTCCAGGTTAAAAAACGGATTATTTTTTTAAATAATTAAATTTTCTAGACAAATTTTAATAAAATTTTTAAGAATAATTGTATTTTTTGAGAAATTTGATGAAAATTGTATTGAAAATAATTGAAATTCTGACAAGAATTGTTATTAAAAGTTTTGAAAATAATTGAATTTCGGAGAAAAACTTTATTATTTACAAAGATAATTGAAATTTTGACGAGAATTTTTGTAAATTTTTCAACATAATTGAATTTCTGCGAAGATTTTTATTAAAATTATTTTGAAAAAATTGAATAGTTAAGCAAAGAATTTCATTAAAATTTTTAAAAATAATTAGGTATATTCTTTAAAGAAATTTAATTAATAATTTATTGAAAATAATACTGAAATTCTAATAAATAAATTTTAGCATTAGGTTATTAAAATAATTAAATTTCTTTGATAAAATTTAATAAAATTTTTAAGAATAATAACTTTTTTTGAGGAATTTTCTTAAAATTGTATTAAAAGTAATTAAAATTCAGAACTGAGTTTTATTATTTATGAAAATAATTGAATCCTTGTAAAAAAAAATCTTAGGTATTATTTATGAAAATAATTTGTAAATAATTGAATTCTTGTGAAATGTTTATTATTTTTGAAAATAATTAAATGTTTGAGTAGAATTTTATTAAAAAATTTTTTTAACCAATTGAATTCTTTTAGGAATTTTTATTAATGTAGGGTAGATATTAAAAATCACTGAATTGATGAAAGTTTTTGAAAATAATTAAAATTTTGCAAAGAATTTTATTAAAATTTTTGAAAATAATTGAATTTCTGAGAAGAATTTTACTACTTTTGAAAGTAATTGAATTTCTGCAATCATTTCTAATTGGTTCAAATTCGTTTAAAATTGAAATTTTACAAAATTTTAAATCAAAATCTTTTAAAGTTCATCTACGTATGAAAATTGTAAACGCAATTTTTTTTTAAAATTGAATTAATTTTGAAATATTTAAGTGAAATTAGATTTCTAAAATAAATAAAATAATTTTCCAGGATTTTTATCAAAATTCCCTGACTTTTCAATAAGAAATTGAGTTTTTTTCAAATAATTAAATAAAATTTCTAAATCATTTTTACATTGAATTTTTATAATGAAGTTTCTATTTATCAAATTGATTAAAAACATGAAACAAATAGCAAAAGTAAAGATGTTTTAATATCTTAACCTTTGTTATTTTATTTGTTATTTATTATGAATAATTTCATTACTAGGTGAAAAAAAAATTTTTTCCCGAAAATTTCTACAATAATTAAGTAATAGTTACCTATTCACAAAAATATCGTGAAGAGTTGAAGCCAAATCTTTTGGATTCGGTGAATCTTCAAAAGCATCGGTGAGATGAAGTTCCTCAAGAGAAATGAAATTGGAAAAAATTCTCGGATGACTTCTAACAGGATCCAAGGAAATGTCATTAAAATCCAATATTAATCGTCTCACATTTTTCACATGATGATAGGATTGACCTTTAATTATTTTAATATGATTATTTGACATATCAATTATTTCCAAATCTGGAAACGAATCGAGAGTTCCAAAAATATTCGGCGGCAGTGTATTGATATTATTTCCCGTAAAAAGTAAAACCTGCAAAAAGAAAAGTAAATTCAATTTTTATTTAAATATCAAAATACAAATATAATAATAAATTGTTTGTACAAAGTTGGGAATTAAATTAAATTATATAGTAGAGGTCCGATAAAGTAATTCAGATATTTTAAATATTTCTGTAATTCCATAGAGAGGCATGAAGGAGAAAATAATGATAAAGTGGGAAGCTGAAGGCGCATAATTATGTTACAATATTGCAGAAAACTGGGCTGCACTTCAAGTTCACTCGTATCAATTTTCATTTAATCATATACATCTTACTGATCGATTCATCAACAATAAATTGCTCCTTCTCACAGGATTACAAATCTCACAGAATTAAATTGTATCATAAATATAATTTAACTATAATTTACTTCGTTTAATATTATTATATTATCATTTATAATATAATTATCATTATGTATTCTCTAGAATTTTTGTTTTTAATTTTTCATAAAAAAAATTTCCTATTGCTAAAAATGTGAGAATTATTATTTTATTATTTTCGAAATGTAAATTTGTTGAAATCACATACCTGAGTTCTATTTGGCAGATAGGATAATGCTGCAGTGCTTGTGAATCCAGCATTGGTGCAATTGACTACAAATTTGTGTTCCCGTTCATAACAAATTCTTTCGCATTGACAGCGATTTTCGAACATGGGACCGCAATTTAATCTTGACGATTCATCGGTTTCTAAATTATGCCAATTTCTATCACACTCATTGGCATCTTGAGCGAGAGTCGATGACAGGATGCCAATAATTATGATAATACACCTCATCTTCGATCTGTAATTAAATTCAAACTATATTAATCATCTTGTAATTATAATTTGATAATTTGTAATTATATTATAAATAAATAATAATTAAAATTGAGGATAATATTAGTCACATTTAGTCTTTTTTTATAACATTTTTTCAATTTCTTTAGTTTTTTAATTAATAAAATAAAAATTAAAAAATAAATAAATTTTCATAATTATTATTTTATTGTATTGTAATTAATATTAAAAGATAAATATTCCTAGAAGTTTATTCAAGACAGGAGTATAACATATTCACTACAGAATGGAGAACTTTTGAAAACCGGTTTGGGATATTCTTCACATTAGCTTTTCGGTGAGTCAGAAATCTTCAAGATCTCTTCCTCTCAAACAAAATATTATTTTTTTAGACAAATTATTGTTGGAGAAATTAAATCAACACTATTTTTCTATTTCTTGTTTACTTAATTGTTTCATCAGTTTTCTAAAAAGAAATAAAATTTTCAAGTATTTTAAGTATATTTTTTATTTTTTGATATAATTTTTCTTGTAATTGGAGATTAATATAAAATTGCCTCTTGCATTTCTGGAATTAAATTTGATACACTATTCTGATTATATAATTAAAGGACAAACCGACTTTAAGAAACTCACATTCAATTGAATTTAATTTCAAAGAAGATATTTAATTTAAAACTACAGACTATGTTTCTAACATTTTTCTAACATTTAACAAGGTCTTTGACTTTTTCAAAATTTTGGCAATCTTTCAAATTCTCCAACTCTTGTCACAAGCTTTCTCGAATATAAAAATAAATTTCTCTTCAGATTTAAGATTTTTTACACAAGACTTTTTATATCTTTTTTCAAATTTTTTGCATTAGAAAAAATTGCAAAAAAATAGAATTTTACCTAAAAGTGTTCTTTACTTTCTTCATTTTTGTTAGATCTAATAAAAAAATATTTAAAATTAAATGAAAAGTACACAGAATTTTTTAAATTAATTAATAAATTAAAAATTATTTATTAAATTTTTAATGGCTTTGACTATGACGTAAGATTTAAATATAACTCGTCAAACCCCATAGGAATAAAATGAATAAAATGCAACTCTTACCTTTTTTTATAATTCAAATTAAGAAAACTTATTGAAAGAAACGGTCAATTTTCAGCAACTTAACACATTTTAATATTGTTCTTCATTAATCCATTCGTCCCACAATTTTTTTTCTTCTCTTTACAATTTTGATTTTTTTTGAAAATTATCAAACTGTAACGAATCACGTTTAAGAGAATTTAAAGGAAAAAAAATTGAATGAGAATTTGTGCAATTGTTCAAATAAATGCACCACTTGTTTGGAAGATGAATGAAAATTGGAGATATTGGTCAGGTATTGCTTTCATATAATTTGCAAAGGTATAAAGGTAAATTAGTTAAAGCGGAGGGTGACAAGAGAGGAAAAAAGGAAACGTACAACATTCCTTCTCTGAGACACCGAACAGCATTGTGTCGCCGTTCTGCGGTCCGAATATTCTGTTGATCGTACAGCCGCACCTGTAAACCGTGAGTCCCCTTCCTTATCCTTTACCTTCCTTTTGTATAGTTCTCATATGGAGAAACTGAAGACATAAATAGTACATTAAAATCCTCCAACAAAATTTTACATTTTAATTTCGAAAATAATTTTCACTTATTTTCGAATTTTCATTTTTAAATTCAATTTTCAAATTCAATTTTATAACTGAAAAATCTGTGGAAAATAATTAAACTCCAAATTAGTCATTAAAATAGGATTGCCACAAAAATTTAATTTTGTCTTTCCCTGACTTTTCCCTGATTTCCAAACTTTTTCCTGACTAATTTTACCTTTTTCCCTGACCCTAGAGAATATTCTGATTCACTCCAAAAATTATTAGATGCTCAAAAAAATGTTCTACATTTATTTACAAATTTCTTCAAAAGTAAAATTATTCGATAACATCCACAACTTATTTTTTAAATAAATATTTAAAAAAATTTCAAAGATTTTAATTTTGAATCCTTTTCAAAATTTAATTATTTCTAAAAATTCACGCTATAATGCTCTTAATATTCAAATTATTATTTAAAATTCATTATTTAATCAATTTTTATTAGAAAATTTTTCGAGAATTCAATCATTAAAATACAAAAATAAATAATTTATTAAATAATTGAATACCTATTTCTTAAAATTGAATTTTTATGAAGAATTTTATCAAAAATTTTAAAAATAATTGAATTCCCAGAGAAAAATATTATTATTTATGAAAATAATTAATTTCTTGTAAAGAATTTTATTAAAATAGGTAATAATTGAATTTCTTAGAATTTTTTAAAACTTTTTCAAAAAAGAAATTAAATTCCATCGAGAAATTTCATTAAAAAATTGAAAATAATTGAAATCTGACGAAGAATTTTATTAAATTTTTTTTAAATAATTGAATTCCTGTGAAATTTTATTCGAATTTTTTAAAATAATACATGAATTTCTCAGAATTTTCTAAAACTTTTTCAAAAAAAAAAATTAAATCCCGTCGAGAAATTTCATTTAAAAAATTGAAAATAATTGAAATCTGACGAAGAATTTTATTAAATTTTTTTTAAATAATTGAATTCCTGTGAAAATATTTATTTTTGAAAAGCATTGAATTCTTGCAACAAATTTTATTCAAAATTTTGTTAAAGAATTGAATTCCTGTGAAAAATTTTATTTGTGAAAATAATTGAATTCCGGAGAAAAATATTATTATTTATGAATATAATTTATTTCTTGTGAAGAATTTTATTTAAATTTTTTAAAATAATAATTGCATTCTTGGGAAGAATTTTATTAAAATTTCTTAAATAATTGAATTGCTTCAAAGAATTTTATTTTTTACGAAAATAATTGGTATTCTATGATCAATTTTATTATCATTTTTGCAATTTAGAAAGCATTTTATCAAAATTTTTTTAAATAATTGAATTTTCGAGAAAAATTTTATTATTTATAAAAATAATTTATTTCTTGCGAAGAATTTTATTCAAATTTTTTTAAACAATTGAATTCGGATAGAAAAAATTTATTATTTGTGAAAATAATTGAATTTTAAAAAGAATTTTATTGAAATTTTTCGAAATAATTGAATTTCTCAGAACTATTTTTTTTTCAATTCTCTGAATATATTTGAATTTTTTCGAGAAATTTCATTAAAAAATTGAAAATAATTGAATTGGTTCGAAAAATTTATAAAAAATTGGTAAATAATTGAATTCCTGTAAAATTGTTATTAAAATTTCATTTAAATCATTGAATTCTTTTGGAAAATTTTATTAAAATAGTAGATATTAAAAATAATTGAAATAATTTCTAAGTAATAATTTTATGATAGTTCTTGAAAAATTAAGTTATTTAAAAAGAAATTATTGTTAGAAATAGAAAAAATTGAAGTTTTTGTATTAGAATTCATGGCATTTTCATAGTTTATGAGACAATTAATTTTTTCCAGTACTTTTAATGAAAATCCTTGACTTTTCCCTGAATTCCTTGACTTGTGTCAACCCTGTTCAATTTTTAAATTCAATTTTATATCTGAAAAATCTATGGAAAATTAAACTCCAAATTAGTCACTAAAAATACTGAACAAATGTAATTAATTATTTGATTAATTAAGAAATAAATAAATAAATTTTTATTTTAACAGGTTTCTCTCTTTTGCTAAATTAAAATAGTCTTCTTGATTAATTTCTTCAATTAGTTAATTAATCACAGTTTAATTTAATAAACTTCGATTACTTATAAATCTTAATAAAATAATAGATGAAATATTAAAATTCAAAAACATTTCATATAATTTTTCTACAAATTTGATGAATATTTTCAAATTCAAGTTGAATAATAAAAGTTTACTAAGTTTTTAAAGAAATGTTTCACCTGTAAAAATAAATTTGAAATAAATTAAAAATAATTGTGTTTTATCAAAAAATTCGATTATAAATGGAATGGAATTATATGGAATTTAAAATATAAAATTCTCATATGATGAGAAAAGAAATCAAATAATAATTGTTTCAGAATTTGATTTATATATATTGAACGTTTTGACATTTGCATGTAGCCTCTCTTATCTATATGTATTATACATATGTATAATAATACAAAATTAAATGCGAATACCATTGATTACGAAAATATAATTTTGGAAAAATCTCCCAAGTCTTTGAGACTACATGATACAGATTTTATTTGTTCCACATTCATACAAGGGATTGTTTCTCTCTTTTTTTTAATTATTTTCTTTTTCAATGAAAGCGCTTAACTTTTGCGAGAAATTGATTTAAACGAATATAAACACGCACAAAATTAATTACTTAAAAATAAATGTTATATTATGATTTATATATTATCATAAATTCTCCACAGTAACTCTGAGGGCACAATATATAATATATTTACTATATTGACTAATAATATGACTTATTGCATTGTTACAAATCACTCAATACAATGACATTCATTCTTGTTATTATTATTATTTTCTTTTTTCATTAACAGTAAATAATTTAATATTTTTTTAACGAAGTCTACAGTTGCAATATTTAGGAAAAGAAATTCAATAAGAATTAATAAGTTAGGGAAATATTTTCTTTATGCTTATATTTTATTATTTTTGCTTTTCTGTTTTTCTAGAATTTTCGAAAAATCTAAATTTGTAAACTAATTGATGATAATTAATTTTGAGAATATGAACTGTAGACTTCGAATAAATACAAATACGACATAGAAAAATTCATTATATAGAATAGAAAAAAAAATCGAAAATATTGTAAATATTGATATCAAAATCATTAAATGATCAACGAGGTATGCTTATTATGCTGTACGTTATATTATGACTTTCGAAATCCATGATTTCCATCTTAGAAATATTATATATTTTTTATATAATATTATTCTTTTTTTTTTGTAATATTACGCAAATATTTGTGATATCCATTATATTTTATTTTTAATACCTTTTTCATACATTAAGTCTTTGTCATGGCTGCAACATTGTTATAGTTTTTTTTTTATTTTCTTCTAACTATAACAATTTGATCGTCATTGAGATTTCAACAATTATATCAATATCGACACAATGCCTTAAGAGTTTTCAGAGTTAATAATCTCTCTTTTCTTTTCTAAGTATATCTCTAATATGCTACACGTTTTTAACGTGCTTCGTATTATAATTATTAATTTTTTCTCTCTCTCTCTTATTTTTAATAATATTCCTTTTAATAGTAAAAAGGTTTTCAAAAACGAATTCTTTGGCCACGTGCATCTTATTCAGAATATTTTCTTTTAGATATCTTGATTATCTAATATTTTTCCTTTTCGATTTTAAGTTTCAGAGATTCCTTTTCTTTTTAAATTAAAGTAAATATTAATAGTTATTGTGAAATTTTTTTGTATTCAACAAAGTAACGTATCCACCGTAACTTAAAAACATAAATACAAAAAAATGTACTTATCTTAGTTTCGTCAAACTACTTGAACACAATCGAAGACGAAAAGTGTAAATATAAAGCTAAGTAAAAATTTTAAGCTCTGTTTGTGAAAATACGACAAATCGAACTTGATTTAAGTATAAATTTTCTCTTTTTGAGAAAATGGGTTTTTTTTTGTTCGACTTGGCGAATTTTTGTTTTCATTCTCCCAACACAATCTCTTATATAAAAAAAGCCTATTTTTTCTCTCCGAAACTTGTCATCTTTGGTGGTAAAGATTATTTGAACTGTACGAGAAACATTTGTTTAAAATGTGGAACTTTTCTTTATTTCTGTAATCAATTCCTAATTTGTGCGACTAGATATTATTTTAGTTTGTTCATTCGCTATGCAATAAAAAATTTGTCGCACGGTAAATATGAGAATATTAAATAAATTTACCTTTTGTTTTCTTATTCAGGTCCCAGTTAGTGAAAAAAATCTAGTCTCCTTGTATTTATAGAAATTATTCTTTTCCAAATTTGTTCCACTTTTTCGTTTGCGAATTGATAATCAATTTTTCTTTGGAGTGTATATAATTTAATCGAATCTTACTTAAATATGGCCCCATTTTTTTGTGTCTTAATCTCAGATTTGTACCAGTTGTCCATTGTATTTATCTCTTTTGATTCCTTGCATCTTTGTCACATGGAAAATTAATTCAAGACAACAGGTTTATATCACACAAGGGGATGCGAAAGAAGAGATAGTCTTGATACATGAAAAAGCTTCTTCTTTGTTGTTGTTTTTTTAGGCCTTGTACCTCTCTGATGAACCGACTGCACAGCAGAGAATCAACGAGAAAATTAGACCCAAAAATTCCAGTATTCCCACTCCAATTGCAACGCCAAACACAATTATTCCTTGAGATTTTAAGGCGCCTATTACTTTCTCCGTACAGCCCTGAAAAATAAAATAGAAATTCTCATAAATATTTCTTTATTCAGAATTAATGAATGAAAAGAATTACTTACGTCTGAATAAATTTCAGAACTAATACGAGCTCCAAGACTGGCTACAGGTCCACCTCGACAAATTGCAGATTCCTTATTTATGCAACAGGATTGTGGAATTTTATATCTGTTGGCGTTGGCAGATACGGAAAAGCTTAAACCATCCTGTCCACCTTTATTGTATTTACTCGCAGCCCAATCAGAAGGACCGGATGCTCCACAGCAACCAAAACTCGATTGAACAGTGTCGACAATATCCGTACGGTATTCAATCTTACCGTATTCATTCTGTCAAAAAAAATTAAACATTTATAAAAAAAAACTATCAAGAAATGCATGTATTAAATAATTTATAACTGAATAAAATTACTTTGACAGTTTCAGCGAAAGAATCTTTAACCAGCTCGTCTAAACGTTCTCTATTCGTGTAGAGCCAAGCTCCGGCGGCAATTTGTGCAACAATTACGACCAGTAGCAAACTGAAGAAAGTGACCAGCATGCATTGCGATTCTTTGAAAGCTCCACAGCATCCGAGGAATGAAACAACAATAATCAAAATTCCGGCACCAAGGAGAACATAAAGTCCCATATTGTAGTGTTGCTCCTGTTCTGACAGCGATACCAAAAACGTTTTGTCCGTTAGCATCCATGATCCCAATACCACTACAGCCAATCCTACGGCCTGTAAAAAAGAAAAATTACATTTTTTTTATTAATTTCTCTTATTATTTCTTCTTGACATTCAATTTTTATTACAATCAGTTTCCGTCACTTTCAAAAGAATTGATTATAAATAAGTTCCTAAATCAGGGTGTCTACTATTTTCGTTCAACAAAATTCCCTGTTATTTCCTGGCTTTGTCCTAGTTTTCCCCATCAAATTTAAATTTATTTCATTTCGAACATTTTCACAATTTTCTTTAAATTTTTTGAAAATGTTTTTTTTAATAATTTTAATTGAAAATTTTGAAAATAAATGAATTAAACAAAGGATTTTTTCAATTTTTTAAAATAATCTTGTCTGTTCATAATTATAATTGAAAATTTGATTAATTCCATTTTATTAAAATGTATTGATACTAATTGAATTTCTGCAAAGAATTTTACTGTGTATTTTCATAAGCTAATAAATTTCTTCAGAGGCATTCTATTCTTTTCAATTCAATCTTAACAAAATTTCGTGGTGGAAATTAAATATTTTCAGAAATTTTTTTAATTCTTTAGGAGAATTCAGTTAATTTTAGTATACAATTTTAATTCAATTTTTTGAAAGAATTTAGACAATTTTAATAAAAATTTTTAAAAGAATAATTCAATTATTTTGAAAAGTTTTAATGAAATTCTTTGAATAATTTAATTATCTCAGAAAATTTTAATAAGATTCGCCACAAGAATTCAATTAATTTCATAAATAATAAAATTCTTCGCAAGAATTCAATTATATTTTCAGAAATAATACAACTTTTCGAAGAAATTAAATTATTTTCAATACAATGTCAACAAACTTTTTTTGATAAAATTCAATTATATATTTGAAAACTTTTTACAAATTGCTTGAAAAAATTAAATTATTATTTTATTTTCAAAAATTTTCATACAATTCTTTTGAAGAATTGATTTCTTTCCAGTAGAATTTTATTTCGATTCTTCGAATGAATTTAAATTTTCTTGAAAACAATTGAATTTGTAATTTTAACAATTTCAGGTTACTTTTTCTCTTATTTTTTGCTTTGTTGTTTTCATAAATAAATTAATGCTGCGCATAAATTCAATTCCTAATTTTAAGACAATTTTAATAAAATTTCTTAAAAGAACTTAATTCTTTCAAAAATTTTGATTAAATTTCTTTATTAGAATTTAATTATTTTCAATGCATTTTAATTAAATTTCTTGAAAAAATTTAATGATTTTCAAATATTTTAATAATCTTTTTTGAAACAAATTAATTATTTTTAAAAAATTTGATAATTTCATGTCAAGAATTGAACTACATATTATTTATAAAAGTAATTGAATCTTTCCAAAGAATTTTATTACATATTTATGAAAATAATTAAATCTTTGCGAAGAATTTTATTAGTTTTGAAAATAATTGAATTGTTTTTTAGAATTTTATGGAAATTTATGATAATAATTGAATTCTTGTGAAAAATATTTTTTAAAAATAATATTCAAAAGAATTTAGTAAATCTGAAGAATTTTGCTATTCATGGAAATAATTGAATTCTTTTGACGAATTTTAATAAAGTTTTTAAGAATAATTAAATTTTTCGAGGAATTCGATTAAAATTTTTTTTTTTTAAATAATTGAAATTCCGCAATGAATTTAACTATTTATGAAAATAATTGAATATATTACGAAGAAATATTTAAAAATAAAATTATAATACTTTAGAGAACAGTATAAATATCTATAAAAATTGAAATAAAAAACCATATTCTAAAAACAAATTAAAATAATAAAACTTTTTTAAATTTTATTTAGTGAAAACAAATTCCCGGTTTGGTATAAAATTCCTGGCTTATTCCCGGGTTTTCTCGGTCAATTTAAATTCTCGGCTATTTTCCGGTTTTCCTGGATTTCCCGGTTAGTAGACATCCTGTAAATGTTAAATTTAAGTTTTTAATTTTTATTTCAATCAGTAATTTATGGAAATATTTTTCATTAAAAATATTTCCTTTATTTAAGCATTCAAAACTTGTGGATCATGCTTTCGCATTAGACTAGAGTTTATTTTATTTCTTATTAGGAATAAAATAAGTATTATTAAAATTGATGAATAAATTTCTTTATACTATTATTGTATTCTTTATATAAATTATTTAAATAAAATTATTCTATTATCGAATTTTTTGTAACTTTTTTTGTAATAGTAATAATAATAATAATAATAAAAAAAATAACTTGTCAGGGAAGAGTCGAGCTGGAGTTAAACGCCACAATATACCAAGCTTGAAAAATGATACTTTTAAGTCCCTGACCTTATTAAGGCGTATATTGCCCATTGTTATATGAATGTGAATATATGCTACGTTAAATGCAACAAGATTTTCAGATTCAGGTTTAAATTTCAGTCGACTCGACACTTTACAGTAAGTTTATACTCATTTCTTTTTTTTATGCGACAATCAACTCAACTCGAAGTACACGTTTTCGTTTCGAAGTGCACTCATAGCAAATTTTATTTTTCTTGTATTGCAATAAACAGGAATAATAACAATATTATTTGATCAATTATATGCTTTTTCATTCAAAAGTGAACTGAAATAATATTAAATTATTAATAATATAAAAATTACTTGGATAAACATAAATTCTTTTTCTGATAAAAGAAATTGTTGTCTAAAAAGGAAAAATAGTAAAAAATTTTTTATAATCTTTAATTTCCTTTTTTATTAAATTTTTGTTTCAAGAGAAGAATGAATACAAATTTTATTTTTCAACCTTGTAGAAAATATTTTCATTTTTATTTTTATTCTTTTATGGAAAAGAATATTGTTAGTGTCGTCACGTTTACATAAAAATGTTTAATTATCCGTTTCCAGGCTTTTGTATTAATTTGTGTCACGAAGGATATTTACAATATATGGCAATGAAAACAATGACTAGTTAGGATTTTACGAATTGATAACTTAAAAAGAATTCCCTTCTGAAAATAAATATCTTGCTTATTTCATCAAGCAAACATATGTGACGATTTTTCAATTACTTATACTATTATTACCCTTATTATTAATTAGGTACATTATCATCACTATCAGCTTTATTATTATTTTTACATGTCCTTATTTTTACACTTCTATTTTTTAATAAGAAAATATTTTCTTTATATTAAAAAAATTGTTATTGAAATAAATTTCTATTTTTGAATTCAGTATTAATTTTCAAAAATATTTATAAATAGAAAAATTTCCAAAATTTAATCAAGTACTTTTACTATTATTATCTCATGTAATTATTTGCAATTCGCAGAAAGAAAACGAGACATAATTTTGTTGGAAACAAAAAAATGTGCATATACACAATCCCTTCGTATAGATTCATATAGAATTCATGGAAAATTTGTTGCGGGTTCGTGAAATTGTAAAAAAGGTCTGGACAACAACTTTTGTACTAGAAATATATATGTATGTAAACCTACAATTTTATTGCACCCTCATAGGCGTGTACACACTCTCTCTCACTCCTCAAAAGACTTAGACGGTTCAATAAAAGCTACATAATTATCCGCGAACCCTCCTTTTGCATATTCCCTCAGAAACAGGTGGACAGTAAAGAACTTATTATTTTACACACAACTGGCTCAATATTATTTCTGTCATGGGGGAAGTTTTGTATTAAAACACTTTTCTAAATGAATATAAATTTTGCTCCCAATATATATAATGTATTTAAATTCTTTCTTTCATTTTGTATATTTTTTACCTCTGCAGCAAAATTCATGGAATATTATTTCAAAAATTCGAATAAAATGAAAAATTATTTCTTCCTAGAATTGTCCTAGGATTTTATTATATTTTCCTAGGATTTAAATTATTTATTTATTTTTGATACAATATTAAATGAATTCATCGAAAAATGTAATTATTTTCAAACATTTTTTGCTAGAATTAAATTACATTTCACAAATAATGAAATTCTTCGCTGAAATTCGAATATTTTCAAAATTTACTATTTTAAAAAAATTCTCAAAACAATTCAATTATTTTTAAAAAAATTTAATAAAATTCGTTGTAAGAATTCAATTATTTTCATAAATAATAATATTCTTCACAGGATTTCAATTATTTAAAAAAAATATAATAAGTTTTCTCCAATTCAATATATTAGAAATTAAAAACTTCAAATAATTTAAAAAAATCCATTAAACTTATTGAGAAAAATTAATTCTATATAGAATTCTTAATTAAAAGAATGAAAAGTTCAAATTTTCAAAGATTTTAATTTGAAATTCATTTTTAAATCAATATTTTTTAGAAAATTCTACGAGAATTCAATTATTTAACTATAAAAATAAATATTTTATTAAACAATTGAATGTTTCTTAACATTGAATTTTCATAAAGAATTTTATCAACAAAGTTTTAAACAATTGAATTCTGTTGACAAATTTTAATAAAATTTTTAAGAATAATTGCATTTTTCGAGAAATTTGATGAAAATTGTATTAAAAGTAATTGAAATTGTGCCAAGAATTTTATTAAAAGTTTTGAAAATAATTGAATTTCGGAGAAAAATTTTATTATTTATAAAGACAATTGGAATTTTGACGAGACTTTTTGTAAATTTTTAAACATAATTCGATTATGTTATTCAAAATAACAGCACAATATAATTCGATTTCTGTGAAGAATTTTATTAAAATTATTTTGAAAAAAATTGAATTGATACGCAAAGAATTTCATTAAGATTTCTGAAAATAATTTTATTCTTTAAAGAAATTTAATTAATAATTTATTGAAAATAATACTGAAATTCTAATAAATAAATTGTAGCAAAGGTTATTGAAATAATTAAATTTCTTTGATAAACTTTAATAAAATTTTTAAGAATAATAACTTTTTTCGATGAATTTCACTAAAATTGTATTAGAAATAATTAAAATTCAGCACTGAGTATTATTATTATTATTTATAAAAATAATTGAATCCCTGTAAAAAATGTCATCATTTATTAAATTAA